GCCCAGTGGGTCGAGGCTGCAGTGGCCAGGAGCGGCCACTGCACTCCAGTCTGGGTGACAGAGTGAGACTCCAACTCAAAAAAACAAAAAAAAGAGAGAGAAGGGTATGCAAGCCAGGTGCAGTGGCTGGTTTCTGTAATCCCAGGGACATTCAAGAGGTAGACACAAGAGGATTACTTGAACCCAGCAGTTCAAAACTAGCCTGAGCAACATAAGAGACCCCGGTCTTCAAAAAAAGAAGAAGAAAAAAAACTAGCCGAGCATGATGGCACATGCCTGTAGCCCCAGCTACGTGGGAGGGTGAGGCTGCAGTGAGACTGTCATGCCCCTGCACTCTAGCCCAGGTGACAGACTGTGACCCCATCTCAAAAACAAAACAAGGGTATACATGCTTCAAGGACATTCATTGGTCTAATATCAAAGACTGTATTACCTTGACCACACTTAGTGTTCAAGGTAATAGAACTGGTTAAGTAATCATATCACATTGATTTCATGGAATGCTTTGCAGCTACAAAGAATGACGTGTAGAGATATTTGTTTAAAAAAAGAATACATATAGCATCATATTAAGCACTACTAATGGTTTTTTGTTTTGTTTTGTTTTTGAGTCAGAGTCTTACTCTGTCACCCAGGCTGGAGTGCAGTGGCATGAGCATAGCCACCACAGCCTCGAGCTGCTGGGCTCAGGTGATCCCTCCACCTAAGCTTTCCAAGTAGCTGGAACCGCAGGTGTGTACCACCATGCTTGGCTAAATTCAAATTATTTTAAATATCATGCATTTCTTTTCTTTTCTTTTTTTTTTTTTTTTTTTGAGTTGGAGTCTCACTCTGTCGCCCAGACGGCAGTGCAGTGGCACGCTCATGGCCACCGCAGCCTCAACCTGCTGGACTCCGGCAATCCTTCCACCTCAGCCTTACAAGTAGCTGGAATTACAGGCACATGCCATTACACCTCACTAAAAATTTTAATTTATTGTAGAAATGAAGTCTCACCAAGTTACCCGGGCTGGTCTCAAACCCCTGGGCTCAGGCAATCCTCTCACCTCTGCCTACCAAAGTGCTGGGATTATAGGCTTGAGCCACCATGCCCAGCCTTTTTTTTTTCCCGAGGTAGGCGACTTGCTCTGTTGCCCAGGCTGGAGTGCAGTGGCACTATCACAGCTCACTGCAGCCTCAACCTCCTGGGCTCAGGCAATCCTTCTACCTCAGCCTCCCAAGTAGCCGAACCACAGGCAAGAGCCACCATGCCCAGCTAACCTTTTGACTCTTTTGTAGAGATTAGGTCTCAAACTTCTGGGCTCAAGCAGTTCTCCCACCTCAGCCTCCCAAAGTGCTGGGCTTTAGGCATGAGTCACCATACCTAGCTTAATGGTTATTAACAACAATATTTGTCAAGAATGTGTAAATTACTTAGAAATTCCATTTAATAAGGTGCCTTGTAAATATTCTATCCAACATGACAGTTTAATTGGTTGATCATTCAGTGAAGGAAGAGGGGAACGTGGCCATGTTTGTTGAGCACATTCTTTTACCAAACCCTCTTCTGTATATGTTTGCACATACTCATTAATTTATTTTTGTCTTAATTCATTCAGGCTGCCGTAAGAAAGTACCATAGACTGGGTGACTGAAGCAACAAACATTTATTTCTCACAATTCTGGCCAGAAGAGGCCAGAAGTCCACTATCCAGGGTGCCAGCAATGTCAGGTTCCGGTGAGGGCCCTCTTTCAGGTTACAGGCTGCCATGTTTCTGCTGTGTCCCCCATATGGTGGAATGGGAGCCAAGAGCTCTGGGATCCTTTTTATAAGGCACTGATTCCTTTCATGAGGACTTTTTCCTCATGACCTAATTGGCACCCACAAGCTAGGTCCCACCTCTTAACACCATCATATAGGGAGTTAGGATTTCAATGAAGTTATATTGTTGCGACCAGATATTCAGTTTTTTGGAAGACTGCAGAGGGCATTTAGTTAAAATATTGAGTTCCAGGTCCATGTAGGTAAAACCAACTCAAATTGTGTTTTTCCTCTGCTCTCAAACCACATCAGCAATCCACACAGAAGACTTTGTGACCAAATGTGTGGAATATCTTCCCACATACCAAGCAAACAATCAGTTCTGCATCAGACACCAGCTGGATGTCCTCCAATTCAATTTAAGCACTATCTACCTGGAGATAGTGTCAGATTCCACAGGATGTAGGATCAGTTCCACAAGAGTGCCCCTGCAGCTGGGCTCCGTAGCTCAGCCTGTAATCCCGCGCCTTTGGGAGGCTGAGGTGAGTGGATTGCCTGAGCCCGCGGGTTCGAGACCCGCCTGAGCAGTGAGACCTCAACTCTACAATAAATCAAAAAATCAGCCGGGCGTGGTAGCGCATGCCTGTAATTCCGGCTACTCGGAAGGCTGAGGCAGAAGGATCGCCGGAGCCCAGCAGGCAAGGCTGCGGTGGCTGGGAGTGGCCACTGCACTCCAGTCTGAGCAACAGAGTGAGACTCTAACTCAAAAAAGAAAAAAAAAAGAGTGCCCCTGCTTCCCACTCATCACAAGTCTAGGCCTCTGGAATGTCTGACCCGCTCAGTGAGTTCAATTAATTTGCTAGAGCAGCTCATTCAAACAAGGAGAGCATGTTTACCAGTATCCTTATCTTAGTATCCTTGCTAATAAACAGCCAGATGAAGAGACATATTGGGCAAGGTTTAGAGGGGTCTGAAGCACAGTAGCTTTTGTCCCCATGGAATTGGGATGCACCGCCCTCCCAGTAGCTGGATGAGTTCTTATTCATCTTCTTGTCAGCTTCCATATATTGCTATCTGGAAGCTCCAAACCCTGTCTTCTTGGGCCTTTAATGGAGACTTCATGGGATGGGCATGATTGAAGCATGGACAAACATGTCGAAATGTGATTGGACAAAAAGGGACTGATATCATATTAAAAGACTGAGTAGGGAAACCTAACAAGGCCTGTCTGTCCAGATTCACCTTGGCCTCTCTGTGCAGCTTTCCTTCCTACAGGTAAGGGTCAACATTCTGGAATGAAGGTCTTATGGCCCACCATCAGATTAGAGTCTTGTCGTGGGAATGTGAAAGGAGGGCAGGAGAAGGTCAGAGAGAGGGGCATCATTTCCTGAGGCCTGCTTCTGAGGCCTAAAATGCCCCAACATTGTAACAAAACACGGTAACGAGATATGGGAGTTATAAGGCAGGAACCGCTAAGGCAGATCACCTGAGCCCTGGAGCTCAATGTTACAGTGAGCCATGATCATGCCACTGCATTCCATTCATGGTTCTTGCCCTTTCTTTCTTTCTTACATGACTATCACAGGGCCTGATTGGAGTGAAAGGATGTTCCAGACCAGGAAGTTTATACTTGTTTCAGTAATAAGTTTTATCAATATCAGGCCATTATCAGTTTCCTTTCACTGTTGTAACAAATTACCACAGATTTATTGGCTTAACACAACACAAATGTAGTATCTTACAGCCCTGGAGGTCAAAAGTCTGAAGTGGGTCCCACTGGGCTAAAACCAAGGTGTTGGCCAGGCTCTAGGGATGTTCCCGCTTGTGGCTCT